ACTTTAAGAATTAAACGCGAGTCGTGTGTTCGTCGACCCACTTACCTTTCGGTATCCCTTCGACGAAAAGCCTTCCGTGGGCTTTCAATTTTTAACTCCGATCTTGGAGTTAGTCGACCGTGTAATCTTCGCGACAGGCGAAAGTGTACTGACCGGTTAATTGCAAGTGTACGATTATTGGCGGACTAAATTCTCGCCCGGACGGAATACAATCCTCGCAAGCAAAGACCGCGTGATAGACTTCCAATAGAGGGACTCGAAGAGGCGGATAGTGGGCAGTCGCTCAGGGCGAAACACAAGGAGGAAGAGGAAGAAACTATGCGAAACGGTGAAACCGAGTTGGGAACCGCGAAAGCCGCACTGCAGAGTTGAGACGCTCCTTAACAAGGAATCTCAACTACTCATTACGCGAAAGAACGTTTCTACATCCATCGTTTTCCTCAAAACTCTGCCGGGCATTTGCTAGACGTATCAGTCGATTATGATGGCTCTGCCGGAAACAATGGCTAATATTGTCGACGGTCGCCTTGCACGAAAAAGCCGCGACTTCCAAGCGTTCGCCCGCTGATCTTGAAACTTTTGCTAACGTACAAGTACGTGCGCAGAGCGTACGGAGTGAAAGTGTACTTGCAGAGTACACTTTGAGAGATACGAGTGGAAGAAATATTAGGTTGACCGAAAAGTAACTGCGTTCTCTTTTCCCTTTTTCGATGAGAAACGAGAACTTTATTGGCATTTCTCAATGGGCAACTTTCTGATTCCGCGTTCAAGAAGGTTCTTATCTGGAAGACAAGAGCACAGTTTAACATTCTCGCCAATAGTGAAATTTAGCAAATCAATTCTAACACTGCCGTAGTTTGAAGGCTTCATATCACGTACACGTCAGATAATGTTTCACGAGCTTGCAACAGCTTCCTTCTCGGAGACAGCAAAATACGACGAAAATGTTTCTTTCTGATTTTTGAAATCGACGCCAATTAATTAACGAGATCGTGCATTTTTGTTTTTTCTCTAAAATAACCTTGAACGACGAAGATTATCAGATTATTGTATGATGAATTTGCAGTTAATAAAATAAGTTACATTTTGAGATATTAAAGGAAAATTGGCAGTTACTTTCTAGCCAATGGAAAAAGTATTTTTAATCCGAAACTTTGCAATTTCATGAATTTAGGAAAAGAGTGAAATATTTATAGCATCGTGATACTACGAAGTATATTTCTTGTACATCGCGAAGATTTCTTTCGTGTCCGATGTACATCGAATCTCTATAGAAATTTATCATTCCAATATCGAATTCACCAATCTGTAAGAACTACACTACTTCATTAACATTTTTTGACGCATTTGCGTAGCTCTTGCGAATCGTTTCGGTAGACAAATAAGGAACATAATTATTCGACTGATCGCAGAGACCAAAGAACGAAGGATGAATTAATTCGCGTGCAAATTTGATCGATATTTAACGCGTTTCAAATGATGAGAAGTCAGCCCTTTGTTTTTGAATCACGGCCCGCCAACCTGAAGCTCCATCTCGTCAAGGCCTGTTTGTATTTAATAATTATTACGACGGGGCTGATCGCGGCGTGTTAACACGAGTTTAACACCGGTGGAATCCCATTGCC